AAAGGAAACAAAGCAAATATATCAAATTAATATTCATTTAAATATATTGTCAGATAATTCCAATAATTTTTCCCTCATTAAAAATGTGGTTTATTGCAACTCAAAAACACATGCTATTATTAGACTCTCATTTAAATACTCGGCCTGGTGTATACAAATGGTAGTAGTTATAGTATGAAGTGAACAACATCTACACACAATGACAGTAAATTAAAAGGCGCCTTTCATGGGTACGTAACCTCTCTCGAGCACAATACTTAACCACGAGGGGCTTCCATCAATATCGTGAAGGTTTAGATGCTTTTGAAATCAATAGTCATGTTTGAACCTATTACAATCTCTATTGGTACATTATTTTGACCACAAAGCTGAGTTTAATTGCAATAACCGGGTGTAACACTTTTTAAAGTGTTCAGTATTTTTTCTTAGTGATACTCTGCCTACTGTATAATGTAAAGATTTGAAGCATCAGAAGAAAATCATCTTGAAAAAGAATCACGTTTACGCACTTATGCTCAGTTGGATTGCTTTTATTTAACGGAAGAAATAAGAAAAATAAGAAAACACAAATCAAGAAGGACAGTTATCCTTAATCGTTTTAACTCGATATTAAATTAAGTGGTCCAATGATTACAACAAAAATAACGTAATAATGAATTTTATTTTAGCATCATTTGATTGCTGCTATCATGCGATAGAATGGAAGAAAACACTTTTCATTGATATTTAGTTTCGAGAAAGACATTCCACATGCATAAAACAACCAATCATGAAAGTGAAATACATTACCTACTCAAATACTATATCATTAGCATCTACTAATGATCCACTAATGCTTTAATCTTTTCAGATAATGGAGGCATCTCTAGTCCTATGGATATCACTGATCATCAAAGTGTTACTCGTGAGCAGAACGCAGGGTGAGAATATGTTGTCTACTTTCTCAGAAACATTGCTTTATCCTACAGGAATATCCATTTTGCTATAACATTATAGTTTTACATTTTTAATATTTCCTGGTTGAATATTTTAGGTGCAGCTCGTTTCACATTAGTTCCACCAAGTGTTTCATATGTGTCTGTAGGAGAAACAGCTAAGCTCGTGTGGGATTACAGTGTGGATGACAGGATGGAAGAGTTTGATATTAATTCTCCAAGGTGGATGTCCTATTCTGACAATGGGAGTGCATTTCTAATCGCAAAGGAAAATATATTAAACGAAAGGAAATGGAACATACAAAACGCTACATGTCCTGCTAGACTCTTGAACCCTGTTCGAGTGAGTAAAGAATCAACTGCTACACTAGTAATCCATAATGTAACTCTGGCTGATAGTGGTA